TACCGCGATGGAAACCCACTGCTGGCTGCGTGGATTTTTATCGTAGTACTAGCTGTACCCGGCCACGCGTTGCTGTGGCATAGTTTGGCTAAATGGAAATGAAAGAAAATAGAAATCGCACGTGTCTAATACAATCATTGTCTGCTCAGAAATAGAGATAGTCTTTGATCCCCACCTCACCCCCCCCCCCCCCACCCCACAACTAAATCCACCTACTACCCTCTCCTTCATCAAATTTAACTCATTACCCCCTCCCCTCTTCCAAAGACTACTGCTTTTTCTTCCTCTTCGAAGGATTTGAAAATCACTAACTGGCGATATTTTGTTGTTGCTGTAACTGACATTGACATCCCTGTCCATCTGGACTAAAATAGCAGCCACTTAATCGGAACAACGAAAAGAGAACTCAACTATTAGACATGTGTGTCTACTACTACTGTGTCGCGATTAAAACACAATTCAAAACCGCAGGCAATTGTTTTCTCGTAGACGGATACTCCAGATATATTAATGAAATAGAAATCGCACGTGTCTAACACGGTTAATGAAGTTGATGTCGCAGTCACTGTCTGCGCCGACGTCGAGATAGTCCTCGATTGCCCCCCCCCCTCCCCCATCGAAGGTTGTTTGAAAAAAAAAACAGAAAATAGAAATCGTGTTTAATATGGTTATTGTGGCAAATATAGAGATAGTCTTGTTTGCTGTACCACGACCTACTCTATGTATTAGTATTAGAGAAGGCGTTGGCTGCACGTAACTCGCCGGCGAATGGTAAATATGGCGCATGCGCAATTACTAACGTGGCTATAATTAGAAATCACTAAAGTTATAAATATTAGTTGCGTATATTTTTGCATAAATTGTGGTCACCTATCTCTAACAGTGACAGGTTGAATTTCAAACCACGACGGTTCAAAATCCGGTATCACAACAAACATATCCTGAAAATTTCAGCAAAATCGGTTCAGTAGTTTCCGAGTCTATAGAGACCAAACAAACACACAAACATTGATTTTTATATATATAGATATATATATATATATATATATATATATATATATATATATATATATATATATATATATATATATATATATATATATATATATATAGATAGAAGATAGTTAGTGCTGTCGCCACAGACTGGTCAGGTTAGGATGTATAATTTCACTTGCCGACAGAAGAACGCCATAACCTTACCGGCGGTCTTCACATGAGAGCACTATGGTGTAACGGCCCAACCACAACTATTACTGCTGCTGCTACTTTAAGTGGGTAAAGCAGTTACTGTGACTTAAAGCTCTCTCAGTTAATAGTTTGCCCCCCCCCCTCCCCCCATATACACCGACAACTCTTTCCCTCATTGAAGTAGTTAGGAGAAAAAAAAAACACACTTGAAAAGCAAACGAACACAGGAAAAAAACACCATAATTAGGAAATGAACGCCATTGTAAACAGCACAGCTTAAAATTCCAACACAGATGAAATAACTAAATCTAAATGAAAATAAATGAAAATCTATAAAATTTCAGCGTAACCATGCAATCGGAAAGTTTAACAATGCAGTCATAAGTATGCGAAATGGTCAAATTTAATTATCAAATGGTTTACCCATTTACTTGTTTTTTTTTTTTTTTTTTTAATATTAAGGCAACATGGCTAGTGCTGTCACCACGACAGAGCAGATGAGGATATTATTTTAGTCCGGGGTAAAAAAATATTTAACGACTGCGGATTAGAACCCAGGTCTACCGCACATGAACACAGTGTTCTAACCATTCGGCCAAGCAGCCACTTAATCAGAACAACGAAAAGAGAACTCAACTATGTCGCGATTAAAACACAATTCAAAACCGCAGGCAATTGTTTTCTCGTAGACAGATACCCCAGATATATTAATGAAATAGAAATCGCACGTGTCTAACACGGTTAATGAAGTTGATGTCGCAGTCACTGTCTGCGCCGACGTCGAGATAGTCCTCGATTGCCCCCCCCCCTCCCCCATCGAAGGTTGTTTGAAAAAAAAAACAGAAAATAGAAATCGTGTTTAATATGGTTATTGTGGCAAATATAGAGATAGTCTTGTTTGCTGTACCACGACCTACTCTATGTATTAGTATTAGAGAAGGCGTTGGCTGCACGTAACTCGCCGGCGAATGGTAAATATGGCGCATGCGCAATTACTAACGTGGCTATAATTAGAAATCACTAAAGTTATAAATATTAGTTGCGTATATTTTTGCATAAATTGTGGTCACCTATCTCTAACAGTGACAGGTTAAATTTCAAACCACGACGGTTCAAAATCCGGTATCACAACGAACATATCCTGAAAATTTCAGCAAAATCGGTTCAGTAGTTTCCGAGTCTATAGAGACCAAACAAACACACAAACATTGATTTTTATATATATAGATAGATGGGTCGTCGCAGGTCGACCCAGCCTAAAATGGGTACAAGGATGGCTGTCCTGGGAAAGTAAAGACGGTCGGCGTAATGCTGACCACATTACCCATCCAGTGCCGATTGGTCTGTAAAAATATGGGACGCTCTGCCCATATACCCGATGCGCATTAGGCGTAAAAAGGAATCTTTACTTTACTTTTTTAATCATTACACATTTATCACGTTGAGATTCTTCGGATTCAGGCTTGAGTCATGCCATGTTGTTGATCGGTCGTCTTATTCTAAACCATACTCATCACTCTTGCGGTTTCCTTTGATTGACAGACCCTTCTCCCCGCCTTCAGGCGTACTGGGCACGTAGGGCTAGGTCTATATTTATAGATCAATCGGCACATGGTGGGTATTGTGGTCAAAATCAAGCAGGCCGCATTTACTTCTTAGGACCTTATCTGGTACTCATTTAAGGTGAAGTCGACTTAGGAGCCAGTCATTTGTGCATTAACAAGAAAACAGTGTGAAGACACAAATAAACATATAATCATTAGTCTTATTGTTTCTGGTGTCTGAAGGACCCTTCTCAACGCATTCAGATATTTCGGACGTTTGGTTCTAGATCTTTATTTTATAGATCAATTGGGACTCAGTGGGTCTTCTTCTTCTTCTTCTTCACTTCCTCTTTTACCGCTGTGGGTGTCGAGGGAGATATAAGGTTCTGTTTCTAGCTCTTCTGGCTGCCTCGACCATAGGCACATCGTGCTGTTGTAGAGTTTCTCTAATGTTATCTTTCCATCTTGTTCTTGGTCTACCTCGTGCTCTACGTCCTTCTTCTCTTTCCATGTATGCTTTGTATTGTATGGTGTCACAGGGCATTCTCTCTAAGTGGGCAAACCATTTCACTTGCTGTCTTCGTATGTAATTCAGAATTGGTTGTGTGCCGATCTTTTCTCTTATGACCTCATTCCTGATCTTATCTCTTATGGTCACTCCCACAGCCCTTCTCAGAACTCAGTGGGTATTGTGGTCAAAATCACGCTGGCCGTATTTACTTTCAATGAATGTATCTGGTACACTTTTAAGGCTGGGTCTTACTGGGAGCCAAAGTTATTTTTGAAACAAAAGTCCGGCTTCTGTTGTTTCTTTCGTAAGGTCTCAGATGGAGCAGTAACTTATTTAGAAACCTTCAGGGTACTATCTCAATAAATCATTGCAAACAGACAGTTCAATATTTTAGAGGGTGGTAGATAGGCTGCATGCTGTCGTGGGACCTAGGCTACATGCAGTCGAGAGACCTAGGCTGCACTCTCTAGTGGGACACAGGTAGGTTAGGGTAAGGCCCAGTTTTAGTTGTTTTTGGATAGTTTAAAACATCAGCAAGCTGGGAAACCCGGTCTTACCACCCTCGAAAATATTGGACTGGCCCAGTGACTTCATTTGGGGGTAGAATATTTGGATAGAACCAGCTTTAATGCAGAAAAATAATGCAAAAACTTCAATGTGTTGTGTGTTTTTACCGAGGCTGACGTTTTCGTTCGGTTCTTCTTTGTTTCTTTCGTTTGTGTTTGTGGCTTGTTAAGGAGTGGCAGAAGGCCAACGGAGTCTACATTCCTAGGGAGAGAGACTACCCTTATCTATCCCAGTTCAGGCTGGTCTCTCTGTTAATCATAGAGAGCAAGATATTCTTTGTTATTCCAAATAACCCAGGTAAATTCTAGGTGCGGCTGATTTGAAACCAGACCGCCTGGCATTGATTTTAAGAGCGATATTGAGCGTTTAGAAGCAATGGCAAACTACTGATAGTAAAATTGTCTATTAAAACGAAACAGCCAAAAAAGTGCTAGGGCTGACTGTGCAACGTTCTGTAAAGAATGTACAGTTAGCTTTGACTTTACTTATTTTCAACATATTTCTTTTCGTTCAGTCTTCAGATAGTCTGTATTAGGTATGTCACTAACTTTAAGACTCTTAAAATCCCCCCTTTTTTCCCATCCCCCTACAACCCCCCCCCCCCCCCACACACACACACGCAGAGAGAAACACAGTAACAATGAATCAGTCAATCTGTCAATAAATCAAAAATTGACCTCAATATTCCCACATTTGCTTCTCTCCTTATTTGTGTCCTCATTCAGTCGCCAACGAAGAGTCGACAGGCTAACAGTATCAGATGCAACCTGAATAACAGTCCACCTTTGCTTCCCCATCAGTGTTACATATTTTCCAGAACCTCATCTCCCGTTGAAAAGTTTCTCTGTGTGTTTATTTGCACTGTTCGTTTGATTCCACTGAACCTTAAAAATCTCAGTTTGATCACAGAGTAGCTTAACACCCAGAGGACGGCAGCAGCCAGTCATTACCCTACATGCCCAAATATTATGGACAGAAACATTTAGAGAGAGAGAGAGAGAGAGAGAGGGAGGGAGAGAGAGAAGAGAGAGAGAGAGAGAGAGAGAGAGAGAGAGAGAGAGAGAGAGAGAGAGAACACACTAAGATAGAAGAAGGCTGAAGAAAATAAAGACTAGATTTAAGAGTATACGAACCATTGCATAATTATCATTGTTCTTTTCTTTTTATGCAGCCTCAAATGTAGCAGAAACATGACTTTCAACGTTTCGATACAAAATAACAAGGACAGTTTTATCCCGGTCGTCAAAAGATACGGCTATTTTGACCCTCGCGGTGAACCGTACATCATCAGAGAGGGCAACAACTACGTGGACGCCGACCCTCTATTGGACTATATACACTGGGTAATCGCCTTCATCGTCATCCCAACCGTCTCCATCTTGGGAATCATCGGAAACTCCATAAGCCTTGCTGTACTCACCAAACATGGATTCAGTAAAAGCTCCAACGTTTTACTGTTCAGTCTGGCTTTATCCGATATTTTGTTTATGGTTGGGGTAACGGGGCCCCCTAAGGCCATGTATGAATGGGGTGGTGGGGGTTTCCAGTACCCTGAGACCACAGCTCACGTGCTGTACTATTTATATCATATTTTTGATAGTCTGAATTGGGGAAGTGGTCCGCCGTCGCTCTTTGTTCCAGTGCTGATAACAATAGAACGACTAATTGCAGTTTTTCTACCACTGAAGTTCACGTCAATTGTGACTCCTAAAAGAACTGCCGTTGTTGTTATAGGCACCAATGTGGTGTCTTATGGAGTTCAGATCTATGTCCGTACATGGTTTGAGTTTGTGTACGTCTTTGATATCGCCCGTAATGCCTCTGTTGGTTATGCAGCCAGAACAGCTGCCTACTGGACCCAACGTGGAGCCAACAAGATCATTGCTATTTTCGTCAACTGTCTAATGATTTTGGTCATATTTGTCTTCTGTGGATCAATTGCTATCGGGATCAAAATTAAGCTGGCGTCTATTCGGCGACTGAAGATGACCGCATCTGGGAAACAGAATTCCAAATGCGATGCAGGAACATCCAGAACAACGAAGATGTTATTATGTTTATGTTTCTTTTATGCTATTGCTTGTGCCCCTATAGGGTTACCGGTGTTTATTCCTGGTTTTATGTCGTTTCCCGTGTACACTGAAGAACCGAACTTTCATTCTGTGGGAGTGTTTATTTACCACATCTATAAGCTTATCTACTGCATCAATGCATCTATCAACTTCTTTATCTACGTTTTAATGAGTAGAAGTTTCAGAAAGACATTTCTGGGTCTCATACCTTGCATCAACACGAATCAGGAAAACTCGCAAACAAATTCAGCCGAGCTTTCGCACAGTCGTACCACAAATCGTGACTAAGATCAAATAAGTAAGTAAGTTAATGACCGCACAGTGCGTTTCAAAAAGCGTGACCTCACATTTTAACAATTTCGGAAAACTCATTCCTTAATCAACTCGACATTTTGCATAAAGAAACAGATTTCCCATGTCGTTATGATACATATTTTTTTAAAAATAGCATAGGTGCTGGTGTTTTCTCAAAGCGGCGAAAATCTTTGATCTTTGTTTGACTACTAATTCTTGTACTTTTAAAATAAAATACACAGTAATTGACCCACTTGTGGAGATTGTTCGGAAATCAGTTCGCATGTGCAGCGATACGTAGCAATTATTTTGATAGTCTATACAATGAAAAATCTGCAACCCATGGGAGACTAATGCTGGAGATGACTACCTGAGAGTGACGTTTGCGAGAACCAAAAGTTTGAAGTTTAAACAACGGATCAACATCATAGCACACAGGTATCAACCTGTAAGTGCTCCGTTTTTTTTCTAACTCAAGCCCGAGTCCGAAGAAGCTCAGCACAGTGCTCAGGCTCTGTAGCACCTGCGAGGATCCTGAAATACTTTGGGTAGATTTTGAACTCCGAATTTTGCCAAGGCAGCGCCGTTAGGCTACTCTTTTCGATTTCCAACAGCCACGGGATATTGTTACATTCGTAACAATGCACACGGGCGTCTGATCTCACAACGCAGAGACCTGTGGGAAATACTATAACACTGCAAGAACAACATGTTAAAAGGAGTGTGGCCAGGTAGGGTCACTATGCAGGAAGCTAAAGATTAAGAAACCAAAACAGAACTAGTGTCGTGATCCGCAACATGCTGCTGGATTTACTAAGGAGAGGATCAAGGCACTTATGGACTGAATCGTTTCCTGTGCAGTGAGGACAACCTGTCTACTAACTAACTAACAAAACAGTACAACAATACATTGTTGTTGGCAACATATTTGTTGTTAACTATATCGCTTGGAATAAACAAGAAAGAACTTCGGTCATATAAACGAATGTTTATAAGTTAATTGACTGATTGATTTTGTTGATCACTTGGCAAGTTGGTTGTTTGACGGATTGATTGCGTGGTTGATTAGTCGGTTGGGTGGTGGTAGTTGGCAGAATGATTGGTTGGTTGTTTTGTGGCTTGTTCTTTAGTTGACTGATTGTTTGATTGAATCGTTGGTGGGTTGTTTGACTAATTGATTGGAGGGTTGATTAGTAGGTTGAGTGCGGGTAGTTAACTGATTGAATTGTCTTTTTTTGTGTGTGGCTGGTTCTCTAGTTGACTTATTGGTTGATTGATTTGTTGGTTGATTGTTTGGGTTGTTGGTTGTTTTGTTAATTGATTGGTTGGTTGTCTTTTTCTGTGGTTGATTCTTTAGCTGACTGATTGGTTATGTGATTGATTAGTTGGTGGATTGGGTTGTTGTTGGTTAGTTGGTTGTTTTGTTGATTGTTTGGGCTGTTAATTGATCACTTGTCTGGATGAGGGTGGTTGATGGATTGGGTGATTAGATAGGCTGCATGCAGTCGTGGGACCGAGGCTGCACTCTCTCGTAGGACGTAGGTTGGGTGTAACTAGGGCCAGTTCTTGGTGTGTTGGGGTCGTTAAAAGCATTAGAAAGCCGGGAAACCGAGTCTTACCACCCTTTAAAATTTTGGACTGTCCTGTGTCGTCATCTAGGGTAGGATATTACGAAAGAGCCTAATTTTCTTGCCCCCGTGCAGACTGTCAGCCTTTAGACTGTAGATTATATAAAGTAAAGAAAGTAAAGGACGCTTCTCAACGCCATGACGCGTACTGGGCATGTAGGGTTGGACTTATATTTTATATATCAATCTGCACTCGGTTAGTAATATGGTCAACATCGCGCTGGCCGCCTTTACATTCCAGTAGTATACCTGGTAACACTCAAGGCTGGGTCGACCCGGAAGTCTAGCTAAACCACTGTAGCTCCCGTAACATTTGTTTAGCTAACACTTTAATCCAAAATTAAGTATTTTTTTCACTAGCCAGTTTGTTATCGTAGCCGACTCATCCAGCAAAGATCTTTCACCAGAATGTTATTGTAGCCGACTCATCCAGCAAAGATCTTTCACCAGAATGTTATCGTAGCCGACTCATCCAGCAAAGATCTTCAGCCAGTATGTTATTGTAGCTGACTCATCCAGCAAAGATCTTCAGCCAGTATGTTATTGTAGCTGACTCATCCAGCAAAGATCTGTAGCCAGTATGTTATCGTAGGTGACTCATCCAGCAAAGATCTTCAGCCAGAATGTTATTGTAGCTGACTCATCCATCAAAGATCTTCAGCCAGAATGTTATTGTAGCTGACTCATCCAGCAAAGATATGTAGCCAGTATGTTATTGTAGCTGACTCATCCAGCAAAGATCTGTAGCCAGTATGTTATTGTAGCTGACTCATCCAGCAAAGATCTGTAGCCAGTATGTTATTGTAGCTAACTCATCCAGCAAAGATCTGTAGCCAGTATGTTATTGTAGCTGACTCATCCAGCAAAGATCTTCAGCCAGTATGTTATTGTAGCTGACTCATCCAGCAAAAATCTGTTGCCAGTATGTTATCGTAGCCGACTCATCCAGCAAAGATCTTCAGCCAGTATGGTACTGTAGCCGACTCATCCAGCAAAGATCGTTAGCCAGCTTGTTATCGACATGCTCAGATTTTCATCAAATAGCCAATGCCAGTAAAGGTTCCTTGGTACTAGTTGCTGAAAGGTCTCGAAAGTATGGTAGCTTGCAATAGAACAAATGCTATTTAAGTGCAAGAGAGTAATGAGAATACAGCAGCATAGTTTACAGTCATACATTACAATAATTAACTGTCTATCCAAGGTGTTCTTCTCCTTATAGTCTAGGCCCCGTGGTGATGGTAATCAGACCTTTCTTTAGTCTTCGCTGTCGTAAACTGTTTACTATCTCTGAGAAAAATGTTCTTTAATGTCAAGATTTCTAAATTCCAGCATTTTCAAGGCTTAAATTTAGGTCGATTTAGTTTGTCTGATTGCTGGTTAAAATTTCCCACGCTATCGTAACACTATTTCTCAATAGATGTTGATATCAAATATTGCACACGCACACGCGCGCACGCACACACACAGTCTCTGTGAATGACGATGCAATAGGGTGTAAAATATCATCTTATAGTTCATTACATGCGGTTTGGAAGTTACACAAATAAAAATACATATATATCATCATCATCATCATGTAGCAGGTCCTTTGCAGAACGTCGCTCTCATCACAGTCTGCCTGAAAGAAACTCGGTCTCTCACCAGCTCTCCCGCCTCGTTTTCTTTTATACTCAAGGAGTCTCCTTTCTGGTACTATGCCTTCTGCTATAATTCTTTCCAATTCGTCGTGGCGCTTGATATGATCAAAATATTTCAGCTTCAGAGACAGGATGCTGTCCCAAATAGTTGTATTATTATGTGAATTATAGCTGCTTTTCATTCTCAGCGACCAAAACTATGAGTATATAGTCAGCATATCGCAGGCTGTTTAACTATGCCCACCAACCGATATTCATTGTAGACTTTGCATGGACCTCGTTACTGTTTCCATTTGCAAATGGGATAACAGTCAGTCTCAGTATATAATTATTCACATTCAGATAACCACATTCCATATTATGTATATGTCAAAGACGCATTTTACCAATTAGTTATTTAGAACACAAATCCAACAAATATATCCTAAACAAAATGTACAAATGTGCAGGACATCAGGAGAATCTTTTCGCAGTGGTGAAACGTCACAAGCTAGCTTGATTTGGGCACGGGGTGAGACATGATTCGACAAAGACTGTACTTCAACAAACATTGGGGAATAGTCGAAGAAGACATAGGAAAAATAGAATCTGTAACGACAAAATCAAGAAATCGACAGGACTAAGTTATCCGACACTTATTCATCAAGCGGGAGAAAAAGATGACGGGTTTTAAGATCTGGTGCGTCCGTCAATACACCTCAAAGAATCTAACCCAGGGTTATGTTATGTATGTGAAGTTATACATTAATTTCCTTTTGTCAAAATAGCTGTTTGAAAATCACCCTTTTAGGATCACATTCTGTAGGATTAGAATCTCATGGAAGAAAGGACCAAATCTCAAAAACCCGGTTTAACTGTACATGATTTATTAGGGCACCCGACGATTACGTTGATACCTCCAATCCATAGGGGTAGACAGGTGTGTCTTCTTGCAGTTGCTGTTTGCACTCTCATTTCAGGATTGTAGCTCATAAACTAGAATCCTGTGTGTACAAACCCTGGCTAGTACCGTTCAACCGTATGGTTATACTGAGGTTCAACCGTATGGTTATACTGAGGTTTAACCGTATGGTTATACTGAGGTTCAACCGTATGGTTATACTGAGGTTTAACCGTATGTTTATACTGAGGTTTAACCGTATGTTTATACTGAGGTTTAACCGTATGTTTATACTGAGGTTTAACCGTATGGTTATACTGAGGCTTGTGACGAAAACGATGTAACCGGAAGTCTGGACCAGACAAGGACGTGTGAGGTCGAGTTAGTAAAATTTCTGGTCTTCTTATTTCTTTCAGTCGTTTGTGATCTTGTTTTTCTTTCTTATATTCAACCGCCTCGTTTGCACCCGGAGGTATTATAATACAATTATTCATTTCCATCATTTCACAATCATTATAAGAATTGAATGACACGAGATCGATAATACCGTTTACTTTCTCTTCGTTATACCCCTCTGGGAAATGAGGAAGCTTAAAACTGTGGGTAATTTCCTAAGGTTACAGGCAATCTTATATTTAAACAGATAAATCATTACTCATTTGTACTCATGCCAGTTCAAAATGTTTAAGATCTGACATAAAAACAGCTTATAAACTGACAAATAGGAGCAATCCTAAACGTTATATCATTATCCCGTTAAACCGTTAGTATATTTTGTATTTGTAATTGAATTTGTACCAGCTTATTGTAGGAGATGATTCTGTTTGCTACTAGCAAAATATGCGAATGTGCTTAAATTTGATAACCGCATTCACTGTTCTGGAGGGTCACGCATTATTATTGAAACGATTACTCAACATAGTTTATGTTTTTATCATAAACATTCCAAACACAAACAAATTCTAGCAAGCACAGAAATTAGTTCTAGAAGAAAGACTAGGAATGAATTCTGTTATAAGAAAATGATAGGCAGGTAAAGCTTAAGGTAGACAAGAAAAAGAAAAAGATGGTATCTTTAGCAAAACTTTTCACCACTATTAGGTATCCATGGCAGAGGCTGCAAGTAAAGTTAGAACCAAAACATTTTACCTCAGTCTACAGCAGAAGTAGAAGAACACTCACACGTGCACACACACATACATACATGAACACACATACCCACACACACACACACACATACACACACAAGACTTATTAATAATCCCAAGACTTGAGCGATTCGTGCGGGTCAGTTTATGTGTGTGTTGTCCATCAAGATGATGATGATGACCACTCTTTTTCATCAAGTATGAGTACGAAGATGACTGATGAGGCCGATGCGGGCCCGAAAAGTTCTTGGACAATGAGGATAGGGAATGAGTGTTGTACCAGTGAGGGGATCTCCTGCAGTCGCCTCTCTGCCATCCTTCTCTCAATAAGTCTTGCTGTTCTGTTTGCTTCACGTGTAGCTTCACCTTGTGTAGAGTTGCACGCCGTGCATTTCGGTCTTGAGAGGCAGCCTCCCAATTGGTGTCATTCATCCCAAATGCTTTGAGGGAGGACTTCAAGGTGTCCTTTAAGCGTTTCCTTTGCCCGCCTTGAGAAAGCTTTCCATTGTACAGCTCACCATAAAAAAGTTTTTTTTTTTTTTTTTTTTGGGGGGGGGGGGGGGGGGAGGGGGGGGGGGGAGAGAACCTGTGATCCTGCATGCGTGCTACATGACTAGCCCAAAGAATTTGATGCTGCATCAGTAGAGTGTGGATGCTGGGCGTGGCTGCTTTCTCAAGGACTATGGTATCAGGTACTTTGTCCTTCCCTCTGATCTGCATTAGTTTTCTAAGGCAGACTGTGTAAAAGTGGTTTAACTTTCTGGCCTGGCGCTGGTATACACTCCATGTTTCACATGCGTACAGCAGTGTAATATATGTTTATATATGTACACACACACATAAATACTTAATGTTCTTTTGAAACCCATCAATACCCAACAGTGCCGCATTGAAAATGATCATGTCATAGTTTTTTTTTAGTTTTGTAACAGGCTTTGACCAATAAATAAAAGAGCACAAGCTTATCGTCTGGTTTGTTTGTTTTAGTATCCAGAAGCCATGAGTTGTTAACCCTTAGGCTCGGTATTATGGATATCGCAACCTTTCGGCCTTGATTCCATTGTAAATACCGTAAATCTGGGAGAAAATGTGGCTTTCCTGCCTACCCCCGGGAGTGAACCCGGACCACAGGGAGTTCGTCACCCGGTCTCCGCGAAATCCGGTTTAGCCAACTACGCTAGAGAGCCGGGCATCGTCTGGTTATGAGTATCTTCATGTTTCTGACTGTTGAGAAAGTGGCTAAATTGATCTAAAATATATCCAATGAAGCTCAAAGAGCGACGATTCAGTGTCTTTTATTTGAAGTACTTTGACAAGTCGACATGCTCCGAAGAATAATACAAGTGGATACACATTACCAAAATTACACCATCTTGTCAGGCGCGAGTGTTCGTTTAGGCTCCCATTGATGTTGTAGTTGTTCCCATGGGCTATCCTATGTTGAGGGGTGTAAGGTATGCGTTACTTTACCTCTATACTCACCGTACGGAAAAGAAGCTCTCGTTTGTTCAAGGCCTGACACGAAAGTGTGTATGCTCTCTTTCGTGGCAGACGACATTGAGCAACTGTTTGTGTATTTGTGTGTGTGTGGCCTGACACGAAAGTGTGTAGCTCTCTTTTGTGGCAGACGGCATTGAGCAACTGTTTGTGTATTTGTGTGTGTGAGTGTGTGTGTATGTGCGAGCTCGCGTGCGCGAGTAAGGGTGTCTTCACCTTGTTTTTCGTTGGCTGAATGCAAGATGCCGTGTTGCTGCAGAAGAGCAACGCTCCTCTGCTTGTCGCTCCCCAAAGCTGACGGTTGAAGGAAAGTCACGGCGAAGATAAACATCACCAATTAAAGCTGCAGAGATATCGATAAAGAGCGAACGCCCAACGCAGGTAACACACACAGTGCCGGCCGCTTATTGTGGTATGTAGAATGTTTGTAGCAGTAAAAAAAAAAAAAAAGAACACGACATCACTACAACATAGAACAGTCTGTGGGAAATCTCGCGCATGACGAGACTGAGGGAGGGGGGTTCTCTAATCTTTTATCCCTAATAATAGGCGACAGCATTAGGCATGTGGCCTTACACGCTTAGGCTAACGAATTGCATGTCCTGCATCCATTAAAAAAAAAAAAATTGGTGAATATTGACAGTAAGGGCAGTGTTGTTTAAATACAGTATATCCCTCAAGGAAAATAGGTACTTTTCATTGTATTTGTGTGGCTTACCTAGTTTAATATTACTAATTATGTTAATTTTCCCCTTTTTTTCTAGATGGTGCTTAGTGTCTTAAGGTTTCACCGCCCTGCCAATGCGTTGAGTTCTTAGTTTGGCACGGTGCGCTGAGGAAATCAAAAAAGATGTTTTTTAACTGCAGTGTGCACATAAATGACGAGTGGTCATTGCGTTCATAACGGCATGTGCTTTCGGAATGCAATGTCGGCTTTTTGTGAATAACTGTTTGCGCCAACAGTGTGCTGCATTTCTGTCCTGAAGCCGTTAATGCTGGAACGTTTATCAGCTGGCTTATGCATTTTTACATTGCTTGTGCAAGCGTCAAGATTTTGCTGGGACTGACACGTTTTTCACAAGTTCTCAAATGCGACAGTGAGGGACTATCTGTGTGATTTCCACAGGCCTAGGAATGGAGCATTGATGATGGAGCCTCAACTAACCGAATTGTATATTATGTATGTCTAGAGAGTTCTTCGACGACACAATGAAGGTGTAAATATCCAAAGATCGTCTCAGCAAGACGACTAGTATTTTCTCAAATATTTATTAATTTCGCAGGCCTTAATTTTTTTTTTATTTTTTTTTACGATGTCTGGGATTTCCATTCAGGATTCAAACTTGGCTTTCGAACTGAATACAATGGCTTTTCGTGATATTTGAAAGGCATTTTGAATATTTAATTTTGTTATTTACGTATTCACATAAACATTAAACTTCTTATATATACTTTAGACATAAAATCCTACAAACACATGTGGTGGTATCTCATAAACACTGGAGATTTTACTAGTCTTACGACAAATATGTTAGATCACAATTAGTTAGACCACAACACCGGTGTGACTCAATTAACTATTCAGTATTTAAGTGCATGTATCCCCCTCGGTATTTCTCTCAACTGGTAACGACGAAAGATAAAAATTAAACACAAATGATATAACGGACTAATCGTTCGTTCTGAGATATAATCAGACGAGACAAAATACGGTGCCTAGTGTTTCAATCAGATCAGAAACACGACAACGCCTTGTGGTAAAATCAGACGTGATATACACACAAACACATATACGCGTTTTGCTAGAATTCAAGATTAGCTGTATATCCTTTACAGGACGTTGCAGAGCCAACACTAACCGCTCCTGGCTGTTGTGTGGTTTCTCTAGGCAAATTTACATCCACTAGTTTGCCATTGCTTTCTGGGCGGTCGGCTTTCTTGATACCTCTGTCGTAACCAACGCAATCAAACCCAGCATCGCGGCAGTACGAAGCTTTCGCATTGACTTAGCCACAGACCCCACTTTGCTAGAATTAGACTAGTAGACTAGTCAAAAGTCAGCGCCTTGTGCCATAATTAGTCCAACCAACCAAACGTCATTGACTTATACTGTAATTACACAGAATAAAGGACAACACTTTGTGAAATAATTACACTAAAAGAAAACACTTCGTGATATTATAACACATACCATAGACAAAGCCTTGTGCTATAATGCGATGACCTCGGCAAGCAGCTAGCTGTTCTGCGGAGAGAGACTGCGCCATTGGGGACAAAACCCGGTCCAATGAAGTCGATCCTGTTACTTTGACCAAACGAGGCAAAACACAATGACATCAACGACGGTAGCTCAGCAAAGCAAAGATGCTTCAAGAGACGGTGACTTGGACAGTTCGATAAACTTCATTCAGCATGGAAGCAACTTCGTTGACGCCGATCCTCTGACAGACTTAATCCATTGGAATCTTGTCTTTATTGTCACCCCAGCCGTCTCTATCATCGGAGTTCTGGGCAATATAGTCAGCCTCGTCGTCCTAGCCAAGCAAGGATTTCACAAAAGTTCCAACATACTTCTCTTCGCACTTGCGATATCGGACATTCTTTTTATGGTGGGGGTTAACGGACCCCCAAAACCCATGTACGAGTGGGGTGCAGGTGGGTTTCAGTATCCTAAGCTTACTGCCCATGTTCTGTATTATCTTTACCATATTTTTGACAGTCTGAACTGGGGTAGTGGCGCCACATCGTTATGCATACCATTTTTAATAACAGTAGAACGTCTTATTGCCGTGTTCATGCCTCTAAAGTTTAAATCCATAGTTACTCCTCGCCGGACTCTAATCTCTGTCATTATTCCAAGTGTGATCTTTTACGGACTTCAGGCTTATGTTCGGAACTGGTTCGAGTTTGCTTACGTTTTTGACCCAGCACGTAACGCATCTGTGGGTTACGCCGTGAGATCTGACCTCTTTTGGAGACAACGTGGAGCACTCAAAATCTTAGCAGTGTTTGTAAACTGCTTGACTATTCTAATCATTTTCGTTTTCTGTGGCTGTATCGCCATTGGGGTTAAAATTAGAATGGCGGCATTAAAAAGGCTGAAAATGACTCAAAAAATGACGGACCAAGGCGGAGGTAAAAATAACATTAGAACATCACGAACAACAAAAACATTACTGTTTTTATGCGTGTTCTACACATTAACCTGCTGCCCTATTTGTTTGCCAGCGTTTATGCCTGATGTTATGGTGTTTCCAGTGTACACAGAAGATCCAAACTTCCGGTCAGTTGGCGTGTTTGTGTATCACGTGTACAAGCTGATGTTTAGCATCAATGCGTCTTTCAACTTTGTTATTTATGTGGCCACAAACAAATCCTTTCGGGACACTTTAGTCGCGTTGGTGCGTCGGCAGCATCCCCGAGTTAGTTAATAAATCACCATCCCGGTTCCCTGTGTGGGTTCCGGGGCCCTATTATAGGGAGACCAAGAATAGACCCACTGCCTACCCAAAAGCATGTCGTAAGAGTCGGTTAATTGGGAGCTTCCTTCAAAGTCGGAGTGCAGCTGCCTGAGAGGCAAGGAACCAGCAGTCTGCATACGGATGAGTCAGATCTGTAATTCGGATGCACACGCAACACTCAGGTTCTGAAACAGGCCTGAAGTACAGAAGTGGACGAATGACCAGAACTTTCCGCCCGAGTTTACAGCTGGTGAACGCGAAGAAGAAAAAGAAGACTATCCCGGTGGGTTATTCCCAGATCCCTCTTTAGAGTGTGGGGGAAGTAAAGCAGAACAGGATCAGGTTCTATTCTGTTAAGTCATAACATCACGCGAGATTTAGGGAAATCCCACAGTGTAGGGGGATAAGGGTTAGGACTAGTGTGAAAGGAATAGCGACTACTACCACGTGATCTGGTGACTGACGAGAAAAGAGCCTAGGATCATTGTCTCATAACAGAATAAAGCACTAGAGAAAAAAATAACTGCACGAGAAATGCGCTGTCTGCTTAAGGTCACTAACAACACAAGAGGGGCAGGGTTTTGAATACCAGCATAAAAGAGAAAGTTAGAATAATACCATGTCTGATTTACATAGACAGACAAAGAATTCGTTCGTTTATCTAGTGAGAATGCAATTAGATCGAACTGCATATGAGATCGGTTACAGCAAAACATGTCGGAGGAAAGCGAGGGGAAGACCACGAAAAAATATGGAGTTGTAGTTGAAACCTGCAAAAACAACAGAAAAATACATTACTCAAGTTGTACTAGAAGCACAAGACAAACACAAAAAAACTACGAGTGGGCTACAACCTGGTGTCAGTGGGGCAACAAAATAAGAAGAAGAAGAAGGAGAAGTCTTATAACAAGCATTTAATAAATGGCGACTAATTATTGGTATTTGAAATCTGAAGTATGCAAACGCAAGTTGGAGGGTTGGGATTTTGCAGATGATACTGTTCTGTTACTGAGAAACGGTGTGACCTGTAAAGATAAACATGATTTCGCAATAAAGTGTATGATAAAAAATCATTTAGGATAAGATAGATGATCTAAGGAAAGTACACCGATTAGGACATCAGACTTATATCAGGCTAAAGGTAAAAAGGATTACTAGCTAAATGTACTTTTTTTTTATGTGGCAGCTTTGTTGCAGAGGCATTACAAAACAAATTTTTCTTCTTCTTCTTCTTCTTCTTCTTCTTCTTCTTCTTCTTCTTCTTCTTCTTCTTCTTCTTCTTCTTCTTCTTCTTCTTCTTCTTCTTCTTCTTCTTCTTCTTCTTCTTCTTCTTCTTCTTCTTCTTCTTCTTCTTCTTCTTCTTCTTCTTCTTCTTCTTCTTCTTCTTCTTTCTTCTTCTTCTTCTTCTTCTTCTTCTTTCTTCTTCTTCTTCTTCTTCTTTCTTCTTCTTCTTCTTCTTCTTCTTCTTCTTCTTCTTCTTCTTCTTCTTCTTCTTCTTCTTCTTCTTCTTCTTCTTCTTCTTCTTCTTCTTCTTCTTCTTCATTCTGAGCCCCTGAGGTTCATTGCTGCAGATATCACGCCTCCATTTATTTCTATGGTTGGCTTTCTCTTTCCAGTAGGTGACACAAGGGTTTGTAGGTCTGTGTTAATATTATCTCCCTATCGTCTTCTTGGTATGCCTCGTTGTCTACGACCATTCATCTCCCCCTGTGTATACAGTTTTCACTTCCTTCTCTGTCGTCTGACATTCTTTCAATATGCCCCAACCTTTACAGTCTATTAGCTCTCATGATGCCAGTGGTCAGTGTGGTGATCTAAACAGATTATGAATTTTGTTGCTGCTCTCCCTCTCCATTCCCTGCTGTTTCTATCTTTGATGGGTCCACAGATTCCTCGTAAGACAGTTTTTGAAAACCTGCAATAAGGCTTCGTCTCCTTTAGTTGTGCTCCAAGTTTCAGAGCCATATAAAACGAGTGGTTTTATTAACTTGTGTGGTTTATATTATTATTTTGGTTTTGACACTTCGACTTTACCAGATGTTGAAGGGCATAGTATATTTTATTTCCAGATTGTATTCTACATTGTATTTTTTTCTTTCAGCGTGTTGGAGCAGTTGAAGTTTGCACGCAATGGTTCCGTTCGTTTGATTTTCATATTATCGACCTGTATGTGACCGGCGTTTATATTCTTTCCATGTCTAGTTATTATCAAGTATTTATTACAAAACAGACGCCAACGGAAGTTAATAAACATTAACTGTGACGAATTCAGGAAAGGCGAAAAAAAAAAAGGTAAAATGTCTTGTTTGTTTGTTTTAGTATCCAGAAGCTATGAGTTGTTAACACTTAGGTTCAGTATTATGGATATCGCAACCTTTCCGCCTTGATTCCATTGTAAATACCGTAAATCTGGGAGAAATGTGGCTTTTCTGCCTACCCCCGGGAGTGAACCCGGACCACAAGGAGTTCGTCACCCGGTCACCGCGCAATCCGGTTTAGCCAGCTACGTTAGAGAGCTGGGCGTAAAATGTCTTAACAACTACTAGTGTAAACATTTAAAAGACAAGGAAGATGGTAACAGATAACTTACGTCATAAAAAAAGCAAAACGTTAACTGAAATGGCAATCAAACGGACTAAGGAAACGAAAGCGTCGAAGAAATTCTGAGTAGAACGTTGTTGATGGAGGCAAAACTCAATTCAGTTCATGATATCGTACAGAATGTAACAGAATATAAGACTAAGCTAAGTGTCCAGTTTGAGTAAGCCAGAACGACAATGGTGATGTAAGTAAAAAAAAAATGTAAAGGACCCTTTCCACGCCTTTAGGCGTATAGGGCACATAGGGCTAGACCTATATTTTTATAGACCAACGGCACAAGATGGGTGATGTGGTCAGCATCACATCGGCCGCCTCTACTTCCCGGGACTGCACCCGGTACCCACTCAAGGCTGGGTCGACCTGGGAGCCAAGGTCATTTTTGAAAAAAAGTCTGGCTCCGCCAGGGAGTGAACCCACGACCTTCCGATCCGCGGCGCGCGTCTAGCTGCTCTGTCACGGCGACTCCCGACAATGGTGATGATGATGATTATAATGATAACGATGAGGTAACTTAAAAACATGGACTTTCGTGTTAATTAAAGGTACTACAATCAAGCAAGTACGAGAGCTCATATATCTAGAAGGCATATTTATAGAAGATCGCAGATTCGACAGAAATACAAAAACCAGAGTACAGATGGCAATCGCTGTCACCTTCCAGTTTGCCTTACTGCTTAGACACCCAAATGTCGCCCTTTCAGCAAAACAGCAAGGGATTAATAGCGTCCACATCCCTCTCTTATGCTATCAAGCCAGATATGTACTATGAAAAGGACACTAGATCAGGAAGAAAGCTACGCTTGAACTGCTTTGTCAGCGTAAGATCACTAACGATACAAAAAAGGACAGGCTGTTACAGGCTTGCCGCCCTCAGAATGTTGTCTCTGCAAAACAGATGCCGCTCTGTGCAGCTGCACATGTTACACGTGCCTAAATACGACCCTGTTCGTACAATTGTCAACATGCCAAGAGAACATTTTTTTATTTTTATTTTTTTTTTTTTTTTTTTTAAGCAGATGTGTTAAATAGTTGTACTAAATACAAAAATTACATGGGGTAATTGAGTTAGGTTCAGTTGAGTCAAAAATTGACATAACGGCACTCTGGGCATTCTCATGCGTGCTCCGTCCTCATCTTCAGCAGCCAGCGCAGAGTTCCAATACTAATGGTACTGGTCACAATCTTTTTATATGTCCATCTTACCTTTCCTCTGAGTGAAGTGAGCCAGCCAGAATCTCTATTTACACCCACATGCCTTTTTTCTCCATTTATAATAATCTTGATTCTCTACTGATTCCGTTGCTTGTTCCTGAAGGGCCTTGGCCACATCTGCCTTGTCATGCATCAATTCACCACCCAGTGGTGCAAATGCAGCTAATCTGTCTGCCTGTTCATTACCTACTACGGTCTGGAGAAAAGATCCAAAGTATGTTCACTACCCGTGACCTTCCAGTGCAGCTTGCCACTCTGCTCGAAGCCTCTCTGCCCTCACCTTTCTCATATTGCCTTTAGAGTCTGTTACAATTACGACATGTGGATTCATTGCTAACCTATTGCTTGGCAAATTCTAGTTTCTATCATTGCTTCATTAATCTTGCAAACTGTTGCCGAATTGGGCAGTACCTTGGGTTGCTGTTGTCTCTGCTGTAGATATATAGTTTCTCCTCCCCTACACACCCCCACTCATTTTTATGTCGTCTCACTGATACCAGGTTGTAGCTCAGTGTTCTTATTTCCTGTGTTTGTCTTGCGCTTCTTTAGTAGCTTGGGTGATGAATTTGTTCATCTTTTTGCAGGTTTCTGTTTCACCATTTATCCACATATTTTTGTGTCTTCCTCTCGCCTCTCTCCCAGAAGTTCTGCTGTTAAAAAGTCTCATATGCAGTTTCGTCTGGTTGCATTCTTACCAGATGGCCCAACCCCTTTATTCTCTCCATGTCAATATGATCCAGACATGGTCTTATTCACACTTTCCTTTCAATGCGTAAGCCTGTCTCATCTTGTGGTGTAAGTGACTTTCTTTCATGAATGTTTCAAAGTTGTAAAAAAATGTCTCAGTTTTAATGTTTGGACAAAGTGGCTCACAAATGTTAAGTAGCTTTTTTATAATGTTGGCGAAAACTTGGCATGGTATCTTAGCCTAATTCCCAAAATGTAGATTACTAGCTTCCCTGTTTGTGTGTGTGTATGTGTGTGTGTATGTGTGTGCGGTTGGAAAGGGGAGTACAATCACTGTTTTCTACATTCACGTCACAAAATGCAACTAATTAGAATTTGCTTACCTCAGATGTAGTGGGCCAAAGTGCAAAGATACCACAACCTAAACTTAAATAACATCACATCGTGCCAACAGCCTTGGTAAAGGCGAATGCCGACGAAGAAGAAGACTACTGGCTTTGGCCGTCCAAGTTATTTGCATCATTAATTTGTAAATCCACATTCTGTCGTTTCAATCACATGATTGCCGGTTTTCAATGTCGTCTGCGCTTACAAAAATAGAACTGGTGAAAACAGGGGTGACTGCAGTCAAGCTAATACCACGAAATTAATCCAATGAACTGTGACTTAAAAAGCTTAACGAAATGGGGAAGCAGATCAGTGTTCATAAAATACACAAGTCAACGTTTCGACCAGGCCTTTCTCAACAGGAACTGACTATACAACCATAACAAAGGGGAGAGTACTCCAACCACCAGCGCCTAATTGAGAAACTATAAAAATGTGATGTGGAATTAATAAAATAAAACAAAACAAAACAAAATAAAGGAGGGCTGAAAAAATAGTCTTATAAGTAATAGTGCCACAGAAAATGATCTACATCATTATCTCATCCAAATTTCGTTTACTTGCGGCATAGAATACTCAGGAACGTGTCCCTAAAGTTTTTATTCATAACCACATAGATAATAAAATTAATCGACGCGTTGATACTCAGCACCAGTTTAAATATATGGTAGACAAATACTCCAACGGACCGAAAGTTGGGTTCTTCTAGAAACAGCGGAAACACCATAAACTTGGGTATCACTGCAGGCAAAGTGACAAACGCGCAAGCTCCGGTGTAGAACACACAAAGAACTAGTAGAGTTTTTGTAGTCCGGAAAGTATTGACTTCAAGATTGCAGTTTTGTTTATAACCGATTGTCATCTGAAATCTTTTAATTGCAGCCAGTCTAACCTTGAATCCTATAGCTACACATCCGCTGCCAACAAAAATCACAAGGATGATTAGAGAATTGAAACACACTTCCAACACCTCGGACACATCTTTCTGATGCCAGTAGGTATCGGATCTTAAAGCCAAACCTACAGAAATATTACGAGAACAATCAAACACGTAAACAAACTGGAACCAAGTCCTCATGTAAGCTTGAAGTCCATAAAAGAAAACATTCGGGATTATAACAACAATAACAGTCCGCTTGGGAGTCACGATACATGGAAACTTCAGTGGCAGAAAAACCGCAATCAATCGTTCAACAGTTATCAGAACGGGTATACATAAAGATGTCGGCCCGCTTCCCCAATTTAAAGTATCAAATAAATGGTAAAAGTAATATAAAACTCGAGCAGTTTCTTCTGGGTATTCAAACCCTCCTCTCCCCCACTCATAAATAATTTTCGGAGGTCCGTTAACTCCGATCATATACACAACATCCGATACAGCCAGGCTGAATATAAGGATGTTGGAGCTTTTATTTAGACCGCGTTTTGACAGAACACAGATGCTGAGGGTGTTTCCGATTACTCCGAGAATGGATACTGAAGGGATGGCTATAAAGACAAGTATCCAATGAATATAGTGTTATATTATCAGCATCGATATAACTGTTGCCGTGATTTAGTACGCGAATATCACTTCCGATTACACAAGATGTGCTGGTGTGTTCTGTAGTTTCCTCTGTTTTGTCTTGATGCGATATCACATGGAGATTATCCAAACTTTTGTGTAAGTTGGCCATTAAGTTGTTGATGCATATGTTTATGCCTGTTGCAATCTCCTAGTGTGGAATCAACTCAGGGGTTTATTTATATGACAGTTTCCTTCAGACAGGGTGCGACAACGGATCTGTTATGAGAAAAGCAAAAACACATTAGACTAAGACAAAATGCGTGCCTTTGTGCACGAGAAAAATAATAGCAACATCAAATAGATGAAACAATGCTACCACATGAACTACGACATCGTTGAGTCTGCTGAAGACCTTGTACTAAAGATTTCATTCTCATCCTTCTCATCCTCCTCCTCCTCGTCATTCTCATCAGCATTAACAACATCAACATTTCCTCCATATTCTTCTTCTGCTTTTTCTTCTTCTTCCTCTTCTTCTTCTTCTTCTTCTTCTTCTTCTTCTTCTTCTTCTTCTTCTTCTTCTTCTTCTTCTTCGTTTTTTTTCTTCTTTTTCTTTTTCTGCTTCGTCACTTTATTATTCCTTTCTTAGTTTTCATTTCTTCTACTTTACTTACCCACAGCCTCTTGTCTCCATTTCATGCTATTCCTTATCCAGCATTTCCTGCCAATCATTTTACGGATAGAAAGTCAGGCATAGACGGCAGGCAGGCAGGCAGACTGACTGGCAGACAGATAGAAAGAAAGACATACAGACAGGCAAAAGGACAGATTTATGGATGGGTGGACGGACGGGCGGACGGACGGACGGATAGGCAGGCAGGTAGACAGACAGACATACATGTTGGGACTGTAGTAGACTCACAGACCATGCTTCGAAAACTGAAACTAGTTTCCTGCAATCAGAGTGGCTTGAATCATTCGATAAGACCCAGAGCATATCCTGCATTTTCTGTCAAGGATGTTAAGTGGTTCGAGGTAACGAGCAGGCTGATAGATTAGCTGCAGACGCTTCTCTGGGCGATGAGCTGCTATTTGATGAAGCAGAAGTGGAGACGACTGCATACGATGAAATGGTGAGTGCAAAAGAACAGATGGGGAATTCACACACTGAAGGACTAATTCAATGTTGTAGGAGGGGTGACGGGTGGGGGTGAGTAGAGGTTCTAGAGATATTCGACATTAAAAAGGAAAACGAGACTCTTTAATGAGTTGGCATCTAGTACCATTAGCACTCTTTGCTGGTTACTGAGAACGTAGACAGAGCACGTGTGGGAATGTCCCGGATACATTGATGTAACTACTGATATATTTATTTATTAATTCGTGCAATTATGCACTATTAAAAAAAAATGGGAAAGGAACCTAGAATTTGTATAGCGATAGAAAGTTTATAACCATCAGAGCACTCGTGACACCCGCATAAGCTCTCCATCCCCATCTTCAGCACCAAACGAAGAATTGCAATTATGATGGCACCAGTAACTGTTTGATGGTATATGTGTCTCGCCTTTGCCCTGAGTGTTGAGCGTATGCCAGACCCTCCGGTAACTCCTCGCAGCGCCATCCTCAATCATTATTGCGAAAAATCATCTAACACAAAGTACATATTCTTTCACAAAATTGATTCACTAGCCATAAGGTGATAGGATAATATTTTTATATACATGCTGCTGATGGGTTTTGCAGTGAACTGGACTATACTTCTTAAGCCTTTGCTTCCCACAGCACTTCCTTGCAATCAATTTAGCCACAGAAACCAATCTCAATTATTTTTCTGAATCTGTCTCAACGCACTTCGAACCAAAGACCAATTTCCAGAGAGGCAATCATTTACTATAAAATAATAGTTAACTACACAACTATCAAGCTGTTGATGTTTTATCCTGAAGCTTTTGTTCTCGAGCTTACTGCTGTTAAAGAAGCACTTGAAGATCTTCACGATACGAAATCCAAACACAATTTGCTGAAGAGAACAATCAAAGCGACAAATTGACATGCGTGTGCCTGCAGTTTTCACCCGTCTGGCATCTATCTAGAAGTTTGACACCATGAGACTGTGAAATCTCAATTTCAGCTGACAGACCAACAGTGCAGTCCCAGATACCATGTTCAATGCCCAGATAATTTATAATTGAATAAATGAACGAATGAATGAGTGAATGAAGAACTGACATCCCAGCACTCGAGATACTCCCACACATGCTCCGTCTCTTGCCTCAGTAGCCAAGGAAGAGTCGATATGTTAAGAGTATCTATTGCAACTTGGGTAAAGGTCAGCCGTGGTTTTCCCCTCAGTGTCGAAAATCTTCCATACCTTCTGCTAAACCACTACCCCACCCCCCCCCCCCCCCCCCCCCCACCGGTGAATTAGCCTGTCATTGTATAGATAAATGATCTGTTCTTTTGCTGTACTGTCCACTTGTTCCCAGGAGCCTTCACTACATCCGCTTTATCATAAAGTAACTCACCACCCAGAGAAGCGGCAGCGGCCTATATATCAACTTGCGCATTACCCCGAGTATCCTGGAGAGAAAATTCATGATTTGCTCCTGATCAGTCTTATCAAGCGATGCAAGCCACTGTTTGTATGGCCTGCCCGTTTCTATTTTCCAAAGCATGCTCTGTGAGTCCTTTACAATTACCCCATGTTGGGCTGTCAAGCAATCGGAGAGCTGCCGTTACCACCTCCACCTCCACTCTCATACTGGATATTGTGACGTTATATGCTATTCTGTCTATTTGCAAACATTGCTTATATAATTTAAGTACATGTAACTGCTATATTAGACGTGTGTAACAGCAGTCCTGTGCGGCTAAGATATTTGACTACCAACAAACTGGCGTCTAGGATGGACTACTGGTGTCAGTTCACATCCTTCAGTCTTCTTCACTTCACTTTATCTCTATTATCACCTCAGGCGTCGCTGGAATCGCAGTCCTCTAATAATGCCATAGGCAAATGCTGTCTGATTAGTCCGTTTATATCTCACTGTATTTTGAGTAGCAATAATAGATCCATTTTCCGCTTGCTAGGCCTGTCGCATCTTCACCTGAGCTTCGTTGGCAAGGGCTTTTTTGGCTGACCCATGATGTTCTTTATGAATACTGTAGCGGTCACGTAGAAAAAGCACCCCACCATACTTCAACCAATCTGTGCAACCCCATATATTGCCCTGTTACCACATCTCACGGTGTGGACGTGGAGTTGGTTTTTGAGGCATCTTTCAGTCACTAAACATAATTGTGATGACAGAAAGTAAAGAGAAATGACAAGTCCTCTTTAGTAGATGTACTCTCTGCAATTATGTGACTTTTTGTCTCAAATTGAAGCCACTTCGTTAACATGAATTATAAAGCATTGTGACTGTCAGGGGTAGAGAATTTAAACTTTTGACCCCCAGACACTTTTTCTTTGAGTTCTTTCCCATCTCAATAGCCAATTACTTTCTCTTCTGTTTATTATATACCACACGATACGAATCAGGCAATGTAGAATGTGCCGTCTTCACAGTAAAGGATGGTAGCGATTCATCTCAAACACTCACGCTCTCCCTCTCTCCATCTGCCTCTGTCTCTCACTCTCTCTTATTTAGATTGCTTTTAACTTTCAGACTGCTCTTTTGTTCCATCTCTTCATTTATTCTCCCACTTGTCGGGTGCATCTGCCCTATAAAACATATCTGATTCTAATTTTTCAGTTCTCTCTCTCTCTCTCTCTCTCTCTCTCTCTATATATATATATATATATATATATATATATATATATATATATATATATATATATATATATATATATATATATATATAGTCACTCAACGTTACTGTGCTGACAGCAAGTAAACAGGAATGTTTAGAAGGTGTACTCTCTAAGTATACACACACACACACACACACACACACACTCACACACATATATATTTATATATATATATATAAATATATATATATATATATATATATATATATATATATATATATATATATATAAACTGGACATCATTGTACATGAGAACTAAATTGAAGCTTAAGAGATTGATAACATCTTGCAGTTATAGAAAAAAATACAATAAATGAATGCAGACATTACTGAACATACAGAAAATGATCTGCAGATGCTCATGAAATCGCTATGTTTTCTCCAGGAATGCCGGTTTGTGGGTAATGAACAGCAGACAGATTGGCTAGATCCGCACCACTGGGTGGTAAATTGATACATGACAAGGCAGATGTTGCCAAGGCCCTTTAGAAACAAGCAACGGAATCAATGGAGAAAGAAGATTATTACGGCCTGGAGAGAATGAGGATGAGAATGAGGTGTAACCAAATGGTCTGGCCGGCTCACTAAACTTAGAGGAAAGGCAAGAGGGACATTTAAACATATTGTGACCGTTACCATCACTACTGGAACTCTGCGCTGGCTGCTGAAGATGAGAACGGGGAATGCATGGGAATGCCTCGAGTGCTGCAGTGTTAGTTCTTGACTAAACTCAACTCAACCTAACTCACAAAAATCGCTTTGCAAATGCATGCAGAGAAGGTGGACTCGCAGCCTGTCTCAACAAAGCCTTAGTGATGGAGATGGGTGTGGTAGACCCACCAAGTACTTGCATTTACAAGCTTGAGCTGTAGGCTGTACATAATCAGTTCGAGTACTTGTCTCTGGAATCGCAGATGGTGTTTCTTTCATATAGAATTAAGCAGGCGGCAATGCTTTCCAGACGGACACTGCGAGTATAGTAGAACAACATGTTTATGGAGTTTATCAAGCGTGTGCCCTGAGCATCCTCCTGCCT